TCCAGCACCATACACACAAAAAAATCTGATAAGCTTTATAATTATTCTGTGTTACTCACACAGCTGCAGTAGGACCAGATAGGATGCTCTACCTCAGATTTTGGACACAAACTAATACACAGTGATGAGTAGAAACTTGCTTCCTTGAGCTATTACAGGGTCTGCTTCTGGGAAGAGCTTTCTAGTCACAGGGAGCATCTTGTTGTGGCTTAAATGGAGGATTACTTTCTGGGGCAAACTCAAAACAACATCCTCCCCTGTCCCCACTCCCAGAAGAGCTCTGAAACCCCCATGTCCCACTTGTCCTGGGAGAGAGCTCTGTTGACAGAGCAGAGGCAGCTCAACAGGCCATGCATGGGGCACATACTGGGCAAAGTGGTTCCTCTCTAGCCTCTTTTCCTCCACTATGTAAAGCCCAACCTTCCCCAGAATGTTCCCTGGCCAGAATTTTGAGTGATGTGAAAAACTCAGCTTCAGGGGCTCCAAACCAAGATATTAACAGCCTGCTTGGTATCATGGCAGTGTGAGCCCACCATGTGCTAATTTTCCAGGATGAGAAATGGGACTATTCACCCAAACACTCCTGGCTAGGGATGATGTTTAACGAGAGGAATCAGAGACCAATGTTAGATTTGTGACACTTCTTTGTTTACATTTTACCTTGTGATTTGTCTATTAACTTCAATATATAGAATGTGAGTTCAAACATTTCCAAAATATCATTTTGATATTTTTGCTAAAGAATCCTTTCGTGGGCTAGAGATATAGCTCAGTGGTAGAGTGCTTGTTTACCATGATCAAGACCCTAGATGTATGTATAAAATGTCAAAAATACACTCTACTATCATGAATATCTAAAAAGAACAAATAAAAAAAATTTTAAAAAACTTCTGGGTTTGCTCCCCAGCATGGCAAACAAAGTAAAAAAAGATGACCTCTTTAGGTACTATGTAACCATTATGATGTTCACAAAAACAACAGCTGCCAGTTATTAACCTCTTACTTATATACCAGGACCCAAGAAGAGTACTTTAATCTCACAGAGTACTTTAATCTCATATTTTAAGGAGAGGAAAGCAAATCTTAATCATAGTGCTGTAAAATCATCATCATCATGCATCTCAATACTTTTCTTTAAATATTTCTTTAGGAGCAAGGACACCATGCTTTCAATTAAGATAAACATTTTTTATGGTTCAGATATTTTTTGTTTGATTTGCTTTCACCAACTATAGCTCAGGCTCCTTTCCATTGGTTCTCACCAAGTGCACTTCTCTTGATGGTGCAGGCTGGCACTTCTGTTGAACCCAGGAACTTTTCTTTCAATTCATTATTCATGTTTGGAAAGTTTTCTGATATTATCATTTAATAGGTTGTTCATTCTTTTGGTTTGGACCTCTATGCCTTCCTCTATCCCAATTGCTCTTAAATTTGGTCTTTTTATGCTATCCCATATTTCTTGAATGTCCTCCTTGCAGTTTCCTACCATTACCATTGTGTAGTCTATGTTCTTTTCAAGATTATATATTTTATCCTCACTGTTGATGTCCTATCTTCCAAGTGGCCTACTCTGTTGGTGATGCTTTCTTTTGAGCTTTTAATTTAGTTTATTGTTTCTTTCAAGGATTTCTGTTTTTCTTTTTAGAACCTCTATCTCCCTATTGAGTTGATCTTTTGCTTCCTGTATTTGTTTATGTAGCTCCTTGTCAAAGTGATCTTTCACTGCCTGTATTTGCTCTCTTATATCTTCCTTGAATTCAAAGAATATTTTAACCATGTACATCCTAAACTCTTTCTCTGTAATTTTTTTCTGCCAATGTTTCTAATGATATGGCATCTTGATTTGTTTGGGGCATTTTCTTCCCTTATCTTTTCATGTTGCTCATGTGTCTTCTTTTCCAACTCTGTGGTCTGGGGTGTTATTGTTTTTACCCTATAGGTTGGTAGTGCTCTTGTAGAGTTCCAAGACTTCTTTTTTGTGGGGAAGGAGAATGTTATCAGATCCCAATATCAACAATATACCACCTATGAACAATTTTTAATTGTCAATATGTTTACAGTTAACTATCAATGAGCAGAAGTGTTGGATTCAATTATTATCTAAAATATAATCAGTAGTTTTATAAAAATGTTTTCAGTTTCTGACAGTGGACAATAAATTGGGGGTGGGCGTAGGACGATATGCTGAGGAGGTAGGATGTGAGGATATAGAGTTAATGTATCTTAGGAAGTGTGAAAGAGAAATCTAATCAAGAGGGTTAGTAGCAAGAGAATAGACAGGAAGTAATTTAGGGTAAACAAGTACGTGAGATGACAGTAGAGTACATAAAACAAACACATGTATTTAGAAAAATACATATGTTAAAATAGCAAAATTTGGAGGGGAAAAGAAAAGTGAAAGAAAAAAAAGAGAAAAGGGAATATACAACACCTTTATATTATATTATTCAGATTACTCAAGCCTCAAAATCCTGTTTCATGCAAAGTTCTTGGTTTCACATATTTGGGGATATGAGGGCTGGAGGATAGAGGGGTAGAAAAGAGAAAAAAACTGAAAAAAAAATACTCGAAGGAAGAAACCAGGGTTGTTGCTAGTTTTAGAGATCCATATCTTTTCTGCTTCTCTTCTCATCCAATAGGTGGGGTTGTCTGTTGTAAGCTGGTGCCTCTGCCCTCAGGATGGTGGAGGTTATCATTGTGGGAAGACTGGTCCTGGTGTAGGGCACCTGGAAGCGGGAAGTGCCACCTGCCAGTCCCTGCAGAAAGATGGACTTCATAGGTCTCTTTTTGGGACTTCTTGTATGATTTGAGTGTCTGGTACTATTCTCCCTCTCTTGCTTGGAGATTTCCCAGTTCCTGGTCTCTATGTTAGGCTCCTAACTTTAGCCCCATCTCCCTCTCCCTTAGCAGTTCCCAACTGTGAGACCTTTCCCACCAAGGCTCACACCAGGTGAGCAGCGCCTGGTCACACTGCACACCCACCCAACTGAGAGCTGTTTTTGTGTTGGGTGGTTACTGTGTTATCACCACTGGGGGGTGGGGGGGGAGTTGGATACCTGGTACTTGGGAGCTGCCCCTACCAAATGTGATGAGAAAGGTTATCCAAGATAGAGGTGGTCTGCTTCCAGCGCCAGGGTGTCTGATGAGGTGGGGGGAGCCAGACGATGGCATTGTATTGTGGGTTGGTAGTAGCCGAGTGACCTGCATGGGAGTGGAGCGCAGTCTGGAGTTCTGCAGAGGTGCTGATAGGTGATTTTGCTAAGGCACTTATGAGTCATGAGTGGGCTAGAACTGCAAGCTTTGTTTTGGGAGCCAGGAGTCCGGAGTCCTATTGAATGCTGAGGCTCGGAGCCCTTCGCGGGGTTACAGTGCTGGTGATTTCTGCGGAAATCAGCTGCATAGGGGTCCTCTCACACTCTCAGAGATGTAGTATTCTGACTAGGTGAGATATGGATCACAGAGTGACACAGAATGTTGCCTTCCTCTGGTCCACCAGCTTCCTTCCACTTAACAGTTTTTAAAAGTAAACATCTATTGCTCATAGAGGTCAGCTGAGGCTGAAGCAAACTAGATCACACGCCCAGTCAGTGGCCAAGCAGGGACTATACCCAAGGATTGTTTACCTCTATTCCCAAGCCACTTATAAACCTGTCTAAATGAGGACCTACATATTCCAGGGCCCAGAGTAGGAAAACCCAGGAGGGGTGCAAGAGTCATTTTTTACAGTGCTCCTTCCTGCCTGCATGATGTGCTGTGTGTGGATTGAGCACGTTGGAGGAATGAGAGGTTCCGTGACCTTCCTTGTCATGGAAGCTTCAGTGATAATAAATATCACTGAAGGCAGGTGTTGAGACAAAAAAGGAAAGCTAAGGAGCTGAATGATCCACCAAACTGTATTATTAGACTTAACAGAGTCAGAATTTCTGGTTTCAATATCGGAAATCAGAGCTGGACCCAACGGTTAAGGAGTTAATTTCAGTGCTTGGGCAAAATCACCTTTTCTGTTTCATTTTTTTTTAAAAATATGTTTTTCCAAAGATAAGAGATAGTCCTAGCATTATTTTACTCCCAAAATTTTAGTCCCCCAAATTCAAGCAGTTTAAATGGTGCAACCGAAAAAGGTGTAAGAAATTTCAAGTGCAATCCAGCAACTTGGGAAGCTGAAGCAGGAGACTCAAGTTTGAGCTCAGCTTTGGCAAACTAGTGAGACCCTGTCACAAAATAAATCATAAAAGGGGTTTGGGACCAAGCTGGGGCTGTAGCTCAGTGGCAGAGCACCTGCCCAGCACATGTGAAGCACTGGGTTTGATCCTTAACACCACATAAAAAATAATAATAAACATAAAATAAAGGCATTCTGTCCATCTACAACTACAATTTTTTTTAAAGGGTTGGGGATGTAGTTCAGTGGTAGAGTACCCCTGGGTTTAATCCTCAGTACCATTAAAAAAAAGTTGAAAAAATAGACTGTATACCAAGTGAAAGCCAGTATTGTAATTCTAATACTGAAATATTAGACTTTAAGGCAATTATTAGAGAAAAAGGAAGAATTTTTATGATTGTTATAATTTTGTATTTTGAAAATTTTCAAATGCATAGAAAAGCAGAGACAAATATAATAAACCAGATGTACCCATTACTCAACAATAAATATTAATGTATGTCCAGTCTTGTTTCATAATATACCACTAATGACTCTATACTGCCAGACTATTTTGAAGTAAATGCTAGATATCATACAAAAAAATGGTGCAACTGAAGAATTCAGCCCATTATTAATAGGAACAGTAATGATGATAATGATGTTCCACTATAAAGTGACAGGTATAATGAAAGGTATAGGGTTGAATAAATACCATTTGTTCATTGCCTTGATACCACACACAGGTTGGGATAAAGCATTTATTATGTGTCAACCCCTGAGCTAGGCAGTGAAAACCCAGAAATTATCTGAATGTGATTTATATTCCAGTGGGGAAGCAGATATCAGTCAAGTCTCATTAATTTTTTTGGGGGGGTTACCAAATGTCTTTATTTGAAGGAATGGTACAAATTAAAGAACATAAGTGGATGTTTTGGTACAACTTATAGAAAAGGTAAAGGTAACCCCAACATGCATGCACTGCCTTGGTGACCAGGGAAGTCACTTCCCTGGCCTTGGGAAAGTCAGCCTAAGGTTTAGCTCTTGTTATCACTTTCTCCCAGGGTGTGCTTGTCAAAGAGATACTCTGCCATGCCCGATTCTGGGGCTCCCATCTTGCGCAAGGTGGTTACGTGGTCACCCAATTCTTTGATGGATTTCACCTGCTCATCCAGGTAATGAGTCTCAATGAAGTCACACAAGTGGGGGTCATTTTTGTCAGCGGCCAGTTCGTGCAGTTCCAGAAGTGACTGGTTCACATTTTTCTCCAAATGCAAAGCACACTCCATGGCATTGAGCCCACTCTCCCAGTCGTCGCGGTCTGGTTTCTTGATATCCTGAAGGAAGATTCGGCCACCTCGTTGGTTCTGCAGCTTCATTAGTTTCTCGGCATGTTCCCTCTCCTCCTGAGACTGGTGCAGAAAATATCTGGCGAAGTTCTTCAAAGCCACATCATCGCGGTCAAAGTAGTAAGACATGGACAGGTAGACGTAGGAGGCGTAGAGCTCCAGGTTGATCTGGCGGTTGATGGCGGCCTCCGAGTCCTGGTGGTAGTTCTGGCACACCTGCGAGGGGGACGTGGTGGTCATGATGGGAGGCTGCGGACAGGCACGGCGCTGGAGCCGGGGCCGAGGCCGGGGGCGGTCTGAGGGCGCTGTGAAGTGGCGGCGAAGGGATGCTGCCTCTGAGCAGCCAGCCGTGGAAGTCGAGCTCTGGGTTCCGTCCAAGCACTGTTGAAGCGGGAAACCACCGCGAGGACTCTCGCGAAGAACGTCTCTCAGGTAACTTTCAAAACAGCAAGTGGAAACATATGTAGTCTTTTCAACAAAGGATCTGGTACAACTGGATATCTATGTGCAAAACATGCATCTAGACACAGACTTTACATGCTTCATAAAAATAGATTGGAAATGGGTCATAAACCTACATGTAAAATGTCCTAGAAGATAGCATAGGTGAAAACCTAGATGAGCTTGGATTTGATGATGACTCATTAGATATGACACTAAAGGCATGATCCATGCAAGAAAGAAAGAATTAATAAGCTGTACACTTCATTAAATCAAAGATTTCTGCTCTGCAAAATACAGTGTCAAGAGAATGAGAAGACAAGACACAGACCAGGGAGAATATATTTTTAAAAGACTAATCTGACAAAAAACTGTTATTCAAAATATACAAAATATACACAAAAAACTCTTAAAACTCAACAATAAGAAAATAAACAACCTGACTTAAAAATGGGTGAAATACCATAATAGACACCTCACCAAAATAGTATACAGATAGCCAATAATCATATAAAAATATGCTTAAAATCTTAGGTTATCAAGGAAATATAAATTAAAATAATAAGGTGCTATTTTACATCTATGAGAATGGCCAAATTCTGGAACACTGACAATACCAAATGCTGATGAGGATGTGAAGCAACAGCAACTCTCCTCATTCTCTACTGGTGAGAATGCAAATGGTTTAGACATGTTGAAAGACAATTTGGCTCTTTCTTACAAAACTAAACATACTTTTAGCATAAGCTCTGGCAATTGTATTACTTGGTATTTACCCTACAGGAATTGAAAATTTATGTCTACACAAAAACCTAACCATAGATATTTATAGCATCTTTATCCACAATTGCCTATACTTAGAAGTAACCAAGATGTCCTTCTATAGGTGAATAGAAAAATAAACTTTTGTACATCCAGAAAAAGAAAGCATTATTCAGTGCTTAAAGGAAGTGATGAAATAATAAAAAGACATGGAGAAAACATATATGCATATTATTGAGAGAAGTTATTCTGAAAAGGCTACACAATGTATAATTCCAACTATGTGACATTCTGGAAAAGGCAAAACTGTGAAAACAGTTTAAAAAATACATGATTTTTTAGGGGTTGGATAGTGGGAGAGATGAATAGGACCAAGCACCAGAGCACCGAGGACTTTTAGGGAAGTGAAACTACTTTGTATGATACTAAAATGGTGGATATGTGCTATTATAAATCTGTCTAAGACCATAGAATGTACAACACCAAGAATGAATCCTAATGTAAACTATAGACTTTGGGCTATTATGACATGTCAGTATAGATCCACCAAATAATAAAACATGTATCATTCTGGTGGGGGATATTGAAAATGGGTACGAGACTATGCATATGAATCTATGCTTTCTTCTTCATTGTGCTATGAACCTAAAACTTCTCTAAAAAATATAAAGTCTTTTTAAAAAACCAAGTACCCTAGGATTTAGGAAGGACACATATCTCTGAGGTGAACTTCAGACAGAATGGTGGGTCAGGAATGACACTCGTGAGAAGGAATAAAAAGAATCAGCAAGAGAAGGAGTGTGTGTGTGTGTGTGTGTGTGTGTGTGTGTGTGTGTAAGCAGGCTAGAGCCATGTTTGCAAAGGCCTGAGACAAGGAACTTGGAGAAGAGCAGAGAGAAGGGTGGTGTGGCTGGAATGAGGTGAAGAGAGGGGGCTGGGGATATGGCTCAAGCGGTAGCGTGCTCGCCTGGCATGCCTGTGGCCAGGGTTCGATCCTCAGCACCACATACAATCAAAGATGTTGTGTCTGCCGATAACTAAAAAATAAATATTAAAAAATTTTCTCTCTCTGTCACTCTCTCTTTAAAAAAAAGAGAGGGGAGACAAAGGCAAGGAGGTAAATAAGGTCTGTTTAGGGCAGAATAAGAGCTTTGAATCTGAGCCTAATAGTAATGCCAGAGGAACACAGCTGTATTATCAGCATTTCCATCACATGGGAAGGTAAAGCAGGTGAGATTTTGGAGATTGTGATGTCTCCATGACTCTTTCCTCATTTTCCCCTGCCTCTGATGTCTAAAATTCCACCACAAGGTGTAATCCTTTTACTCTTCCTACATTTCCCTGTTGATAGGTTGAAAATTCTCCAGAACTCCTGGGGAGGGCTTCCAACACTGCAGCCCTCTAGAAATAACTAAGGGATTTGAGAGCAGGCCCTAAGGCATGGAGAAAGTAGAAAGGCTATGGGTATAACAACCTGGGTCTGGAGGGGAAGCTAGAACAGCAAGGAAGGGGGCAGGGCTTTGGGTCTATTGTGTTCCCCAGGGTGATTCTTCACTGACAACTGCACTAATTGTGGATTACATTGCTGATACATTATCCATATTTGCTCAATTGATAATGTTTTGGCAGCTAAATATTTTATGACTGAAGACTCCCAAGGCGAAGGCAACCAGTTAGGAAATAGGATGGAGAATCCCCTGGAAGCACACACCATGTCCTTCTTTGTGGGCACTACTGTTATGTGCGTCATGTGTCTCTGCTTGGCCTCTGCTCCCAGCATAGAGTGAAACCTCAAGATCAGTCCCCCATCTCATTCTAGCTGTAACTTACCTCTTCCCAGTGGTCTGTTGTTCAAGTCTCTCTTTCTTCTTGCGCCTCAAAGCCAAAGGTTTGCCCTAAAACATTGGCCACAAAGTCTTAAGTAATTTATTTGAAATAAACCTTTTTTTTGTAAACCCCCCAATTCATATGAATGTATTAGTGTTTAAAAGCTAATAATAGCACAAGTTATTTATTTATTCTAACACAGTATTGATTTAAATGCCCACTGTTTCTACTAAAACCTAAATAGGCACCTAGCCTATGATCCACCTGTTTAATGTTTAACTCTTGGGTATTTACCCAAGATAACTCAGTACAAATGTTCATATGTATGTGAATATTGATAGCATCTTTATTGCCCCAAACTGGAAACAATGTGACTTTGAACACATAAATTGTAGTATATCCATACAACAGAGTACACTCAGCAATTTTAAGGAACAAACTCTGATACATGCAATATCATGGATGAATCTCAAAGACATTATGTTGAGCAAAACAAACCCAATATTTAATATTCCTATGATGTGACTGTATGTATATAAAGTTCAAAAGCAAGTGAAACAAATCTGCACTGTTAAAAGTCAGAGTGTTGATTACCTATGAGAGAAGAGGTTATTGACTGGGAAAGAAATAAACAAAATAGGTATTTGAATATAAGAAAGGCTTTGGGGTGATGAAATTTTTCTAAATCTTGATCTGGGTGATTTACAGGAGTATATATGTAGGTGAAATTCATTAAGCTTTACATTAAAAACTGTACTCTTTACTACAGATTTATGCCTCATTAAAAAAAAAAAATCTGCCACCAGGGCACTGTGCAGCTGACTGAGTCCTGCTGTTCCAGTTTACCATTGCTGAAAAGAGTTGAGGGAAGATGAAGTTCTGGAGCAGACTTGTTTTGAGATTCTTAAGGGAAATGGGCAGTCCCTAGGCGAGAGGGTTAAAAGAAAAAGTTGTTCAGGTAGAAAGAAGATGCCTCTGATGATCACTGCTAAGGGGTTGCAAGAAACGTGGATGCAGTGTGGAATCAAACAGCCCTAGGAGGACCTCTAAGTAGGAAAGAACTTCACTTTATCATGATCAGTGGCTCCGCATAGCCACAGATGGGGGCGGGGTAGTGTTACCTAGAGAACTGAGACACATGAGTTCTTACCAGAGTACACATGAAGGGGAGGAAAAAGAGATATGCTGTGAATAAAAACAGCTCTTTTATATTTTTTGAATGTATACAGATATAATTTCATTTATATATCAGAACTGTGTGACATAGCATCTACTACCCCCACTTTACAAACAGGAAACAGACTGAGTTCACATGATAGGATGAAGGTCACACAACTGGTCCATTCAGTATTCAAACCCAGGGTGGTAAAACCAGAACCTGTACCCCAACCACTACACTCTCTGCTGGATGATCAATAAGTGTGCAACCAGTTTGATACACCCATGGGAGACCCAATTTGACAGACACTTCTATACTTGTTCTCCTAAGAGGGGGGTCCAATAAAAGAACTAAAACAGATCATGGACAGAGAAGGCACCAATCGATAATAGTGAGGAGCACATGGACAGGGGAAGAGATTAGGAAAGGAGGAAATTCCAGAGACCTTCTCTTCAGAGAATTCTATCTCTATATCTCTTTTTTTTTTTTTCAGTAAACCTACTTCTTGCTTGCTGTCTCTGTGTCCTGTTCTTCAGTTCTTTGCTGAATGGAGACAATGAACCCATCACCCCTAGATGGTAACATTACCACTCAGTTAATCCCTATCAGGGGATTAATTCAGTGATGGGTTAAGGCTGTCATAACCCATGATTTCACCTCTGATGTTCCTGCATGAGCTTTTCGGGGACATTTCACATCCAAACCATAATAGTTCCTATCTATAGTCTGTTGCTGTGTCAAAGTCCTTCTTAATATCACCTTAATTCAATTCTATTATGATTCTGTATCATTTCAGTTATCAAAATACCAGTTATTAAAACTCAGTCCCATACATTTTCAAGCTCCAATTTCAAGGCTGGTAATGTCATGTGGTGGTTGAGTGGTAATCTGGCACGAGTGAGGCCCTGAGTTTGATCCCCAGCACCACAAAAGAAAAAGTAATAATAAAAAACCCTCCAGTTTCATATTTGATCCAAATTCTTTTCCTTTCCCAGGTTCAGGCTAAACCAGTGGTTCTGTGGATTTGGAATGTGGCAGATGGAGTGGTCTGCTTCTTCTGCAATGCACCCCCACCCCGCCCTGCCCTCTACCTTATGCTTCTTCTGAGGACCAAAGTCATCTCCCTAAGTAATAGCCTGCACCGAGATTTGGTTTCTGATGGCTGTTGTCACCAATCCCCTGATCTATTGTGTGGGACCTACATAACAAACTACCCCACACTTAATGGCATGCTCACGGATTTTATAGGCCAACAATTTGAGACAGGCACGAAGGGATGGATTTTATCTGCCTCAGCTAGGAAGACTAAGAGACAGAGGGTGATCTGAGCCTGCCACTCTCATGCTAGATGCTTGTACTGGGAGGTTGTGAACACTGTAACTGTCAGCTGAAGCATCTACATCATCTTCTTCATTGGCTTGTGCTTCCTTATGGCATGGTAACCTCAGAAAAGCTGGACTTCTTACATGGCAGGTTAGACTTCCAAGTGTGTATCACATTCTGTCCAAAATTACAAGTCTTCCCTGACTAGAAAGTGAAGTTGAGCCAGAGAAGAAATGAGGTTCAAGCAAGCCTATGAGGGTTCTGAAAAGAGAGGAGAACTTTATATTCAACTTGTGATTGAGACAGGCATTGGGAGATAAAGAATGAGTTTGGGAGAAAATGGAAGAAGGGTTGAGAACTGGGTTTGTCCAATATGGTAGTAGTGGTCATGAATGGTTATTTAAAATTTAAAGGCTTAAAATAAAACAAAATTAAAATTTCAGTTCCTTAGTTACACTAGCCACATTTCAAATATTAAATAGCCACATGAGACTAGTGACTATTGTACTGAATGACATAGATTGTAGAACAGTTACATCATCACAAGAAATTTTACTGAACAGTATCAGTTACAGAACAGTTACTTATAGCAGGCAGCTTTTTTCATTAAGTAGCCTTAGCATAATGGGTGAGATGGGTGGTGGGCTTCTCCAGGAAATGAGCCATATGGGGCCAAGAGTGGATGTGATTTTCCAGAACAATCCAGAGTCATTGGAGCCAAGTTCTGCTACACTCATGTTCAAAACTTTTTTGTTGAATAAAGAAATGAATGATCTGGGTAGTATCTCTCTCTCTCTCTCTCTCTCTCTCTCTCTCTCTCTCTCTCTCTCTGTGTGTGTGTGTGTGTGTGTGTGTGTGTGTGTGTCAGAAAGCATCTACAAAATGGGCTAAGTTTTCTCATTAACTAAATGAAAGAAATTCGAACAGGAGCTTTTAAGAGGAGCTACAGAAATGTTTTGAGCAGTGTTAGCTATATCAGAATGAGCACTACTTTGGAAGGGGCCACATTCTACTAGCTGGTTGTATATGCTCAAGGTTAAGACCCCTAGCCACTCTGGGTTTCCATTCCCCAGTTACAAAATGAAGAATAATGACCAAAGACCATGCTAGCTATTTCTGTGTATCTTATGATTTGAATCTATTTTTGTTAAAAGAGTTTCCTTGTCATACCTCAAAACTGCTGTGAAAGCTGAAAAGAATCATATCAGCTGATTATCAGCCATCTTGTAAATAGCAAATAGATTCCATACCAGAAGCCAGTTTGTATTAATTGGTAGTACTTTCTTAGAAAACTCTGTCAAGGGTTTCAAGGCCATGTCCAAGCTGAGTGGAAAGTAGGCTTGGTTGATTAGTAATGCCTGCCTTGGGGAATCAAGCATGGAACACATGGACATCTGCCTTCTCAGGTTTTAGTTCTGTCTAGCCTTTACTCCCTTGCCTAGGTCTACTGTATGTACTAGAGAGACTAAATGTTTGCTTTCCTAGCTTTTGTTGCAGCTGGGGGGCAGGGGATAGTGGTGGTGGTTCCATATCACAGATGTGAGTTTGCAGCTATGGCAGCCATCTTGTGACCAGGAAGAAGTTTCAGAGAATCAGAGATTCAGTCTCTGAATTCATGGAAACTCTACACCACTGCCAGCAGCTGCCTATCTTCAGACATCATGTTAGGTAAGAAAAATAACTCCCCAATTATTTTAGCCCTCAGAGCTTGGCATTTCTGTGAATTTCAGCAGAATGGTTTCTTAACTTTCCAACTCCCTCTCCCCCAGTTCTTCTCACCTCTGATAACCCTTCCTTCCCCCTTAGTGTTCAACATTTCTCAACCTGAAATCTGCAGGGTGAGCCCTGCTCTAATCATAAGCCCATGATGGCAGATGGAATCAATGGCATTGCCCATAGACAGAGAACAAAAACTGTGTCTGTGAGACCCCTACCCCCAACTTTTCCTTATATTCCATCAAAGTAGATCCAGATCCCTTCTTTTTTAGTTTTTTTTTTCTTTTGTGGTACTGGGTACTGGCCTTGCATATACTAGGCAAGCTTTCTGTCACTGAGCAATATCCCAAGATCCCAGATCTTTCCTCCTCAGCGAGAAAGCACCAGTGTCATGGTCTCCTCCTTACTCAGGTTCTCAGAGGTAGCAAGCCACATGCAAATACACATGCCTTGTCAATAGCTGCCTCGTAAATACACAGCAGCCAAGGAAAGCCCTTTCTAATCATGCTTCCTGTGGACTTTGAAATTCAAGTTCTATTAGGACTTCAACCATCCTAGCCATACAATAACATTTCTATAGCAACCTCCTCAGGTTTGTGCAAGTCAAGCACTCAGGCACCTTGATTCCACCCCAGGTGTGGGTGGAATGCTTATCTCCTGACCTTTAAACACCCATCAGCTGTGTCCATGTCTAAATTTGCCCATTTGTTCCCAGCCAAGAGGGACAACAGAGCTTAAAGTCACAGAAGAACAATCATAATGCATTAACAACTTTTTCTGGAAACTAAATTAATTTAGGTGATCATAAATTGACATGGTGGTTAAAAGTCCATGGATTTTGAGTGAGAGATTTCCCATCCTAGTGGAAGCATCTATGAAATTTTGTCTCAGAAATTGATCCATAGTCTCTGCTCTACTCATGAGGGCCTTGGTTTATACTTAGCTACAGTCTGGTTTTCAGACCTTTGTGTGATAGATTTCTAGTATCTGAATTCCCTTGAAGTTATGGTTTAATTGATCTTCCATTCCACTTGGCTGTCAATAACAGCATGCTCTTTTAAGGGTGTGTACTTGCTTCTGTGCTCTTTCGCATGATGCAGCTCTGATAATTTATATTTTCATATGATTGCCTGTTTGTTTGCTTGTTTTTTTCAATGCTAACATTTCCCTGGAGTTGCCCTTTTCCCTATAATCCATTACTGAGGATAAAAACCACATGCAATGAACCACATATGTATTTGGTAAATGTTCAATAATAGGCTAATAAATGTTAGTGTCAGAAATGGGTAAATATTTTCTGAATGCAACCTATACTATCAAGTTAAATTAACTTGAACATAACGTAATAAGTTTTCTTTTAGCATGGGTTAGCTAAATCTATCTTGAAAAACAGAAACCAAACTAGAAATTCATTTGCATTCTAATGGGTCCACCTTAGATGTCCTTTTACCTCCTTCCTTGCCATCAACTGTGTTTTTCACCAACATAGAATCTGGAGCATCCTGAGCATCTGTAAGAAGAGGAGGAAATTACTTAATAACACTATGAACAACTATATGATTAGTAGAATCATTCCAGTGGAGTCTTCAAATGGATGTTTACAACATGCTAAATATATTGGATGAAAACTTTTAAAAATTTAAAACAGTTACACAATTGACTCTTTGGGTTCACATTCTGAAGAGGCACATCTTCAAAGGGGAATATCTTTCTGATTTGGAAACCTCCTGCTTCTGGCTCTGAAACCATTTTAGAAGCAGGATGACTCTGCAAGTTGGAACCAAACAAAAGGGATGAGAAACCTTCTGCTGTGAGCAAGTATTTCCTTTTAAGCTATGAAGACAGTTTCAGCACTTATACAAGTTTGTGATATTTTCCTTCCCAGATTAGGTCATTTTTTTCCTCCTAACAAGTTGGATAATGCCCCAGAGTTAACAATTACTTAACTTTCTTTAATTTGAAGAATACATCAATGCCATGGATATTGTCAAAGTTATCAGACTTTGGTTTTGAGAATGTCATTTAATGTTTTTGTTAATGCATGTGTGTAAGAATATTCATGATGATAATTTGAATCTAATAATATTTTTCTTGTCATTACAAGAACTGATCAGTATAAAAAAAGAAATAAGTGTGTCTTCACATTGTTGCAAAAGCACACCAAATGGCTTGAGTTGCTCTTTATTTATTTATTTTAAATTTTGAAACAGTCTCATTAAGTTGCTGAAGTTGGCCTTAAACTTGAGATTGTTTTGCCTTTGCCTCCAGAGTTGCTGAGATTACAGACATGTACCACCATGCTTGGCCTGCTCTTCTTAACACATGATACATATTTTTAAACATACATATATTTGTAAGTCTGTAAAAATTTAGGAATATGACTTGATGTGATAACAACAATAAAAAAAACATTTATTTTATCATGAGCAGGTTTTCTGAACCAGATTAGAAGTAGTGACATTTTTCAGGCTGCAGTAAAGCTATTGCCATGGAATTTCCAGAGAACATTTCACTTCACTGTTATTTATAGCTTAGCTCAGCCTCTTTCTATTATTTATACTTAAATATAGAAAAAAATCTTTTCCTGTTCCTCTTTCTTTGGATTTTTTTTTGAACTCCCACACAAATCTATGAGTCATAAATGAGACTAGGAAAATGAATGGTTCCCATCATACAAGAACACTTTTTGGCTACCCATGTGAATTTAGGTATTACCAAGGCAGGTTCAAATTGCAAATAAAACAATGTCTATTTGAATTCCATTCAGAAAAATTAAAAATTATGAAGTTGGCACATCATCCTTATGTTCAGATTTAACAAAATATTTTTTATATATGAACACAACACTTTCTGAACTTTCACATAGATACTGTAAAATATGTGTAACTAATGGAGTGGGAAAATGGGAACTCTGCTTCTAATCTTAGCTCTCCACTTCTTGATTAGGTGGTCTAGTTATCACCATCGGTAAGATAGACATAATATCTGTCTTACCTCCCCTATCAAGGATGTATAAAGAGTCTAATGCAATAAAAGATATAAAAGTGTTTTGTGAAATTTAAAGTGCCATCATAATTTTTAGATATGTTTATTACTGTTTCTTCAGTTAAAATAATTGTAGAGGCAGAAGAATGACTAGGCAGTGGAATGAATTGACAGGCAGGTTATGAATTTGTCTGCTGCTGCAAACATATTTTAGTGCTAAACTTAGTCCCCAAGGATCTGATAATGAATTAAGTCCTGTAATACAAAAAGACATAATTGATCACCATAAGTCAAGTCTAATTCAATCTGAATGATCCAATGATGAGTAAGGAAGAAATGTTTAGTACACAGAGACCTATTTTTATTTTTGAAGTTGAACTCAAGTTTGTTTACATCCAAGAGTGAGCTATTCCTGCAAAATTTCATCTCAATGATTCCACATATGATTTACATACAAATCTTACAAATATTACTCATCAGTTTCATAATAATTTCTCTGTTTCAGGTATGGATAAATTAAAGTCTCAAAATCGCTTTTTAATTAAACTTTATTAAAATTTGGTTAGAGTTGTTATCACATGCTATTATTATAGTTATACAAACATTGTTAGAGTATTTGAATTGCTTTTGAAAAAAAACTTTTGATAAAGCTAGGCTTACCAAGTGTAGAGTTAAAGGTGTAAACATGAAACGATTTTTTATGGATAATAATATATATGGCAAACCTTCCAACGATATTAAAGAATGTATAATGAAAAGTTAATCTCTTTATGAGGGTAAATCCCCAAATCTTCCAATTCACTTCCCTCTCAAGTAAATACTCTTAATTAATCTTGTGTATTTATGCTTAGATACATAAACATATATGTTTATATGTTATATGTATACATATACATATATATTTAAGAACAAATTACAAAAGGTAGAACAATATGTTTGTTTTCTACATTTTCCCTTTTCTTTTACTTAGTTATCCTGAAGGTTAATTTTTTACACAAACTTCTACAAATTTAGTTCTGTTTTACTTATTTATTTATGTATTTATGTATGTATGTATGTATTTATTTTTGTGGCACTGAGGATTGAACCCATGGGTGCTCTACCACTGAGTTACATCCCAGCTACCCTCTCTACTCCAACTTTTGGGTACTGGGGATTGAACTCAGGGACACTCAAACACTGAACCACATTCTCAGCCCTATTTTATATATTATTTAGAGACAGGTTCTCACTGAGGTTACTTAGTGCCTTGCCTTTGCTGAGACTGGCTTTGAACTCATTATCCTCTTGCCTCAGCCTCCTGAGACGCTTGGATTATAGGTGTGCACTACTCTGCCTGGCCCCAGTCCTTTTTATTTTGATACAGCATCTCACTAAAATTTCCTAGGCTGGACTCAAATTTGTGTTTCTTCTGCCTCAGTCTCCTGAGTAAGTAAAATTACAGGCATATGCCGAAGCGCCTGGCTCGTTCCATATATTTTTTTAAACTTTATTTAGCTAGCACTCATAGTTTCAGAGCTCTCAATCTCTTTTATTTATTTATTTTATAATTTTAAATATTATTATTAGTTGTAGGTGGACATAATGTCTTTATTTTTATTTATTTATATTTTTTACATGGTGCTGAGGATCAAACCCATTGCCTCATGCTTGTGAGGCAAGCGCTCTACCACTGAGCTACAAACCCAGCCCTTGTCCCATATTTTTAATAGCTGCATAACAATTTATTGTGTATTTGAAAGTATAATAATTTATTTAACCAGTTCCATATTATTGTGAACAATATTTTGTTGTTACCAACAAGGCTAAAATCCTTTTACATACATCTGTATTGTATATAAAAAGTAAAGGATAAATTGATATTTTGAGATTTCTTGAAATTTAGTAAGATGAAAGGATTTACCTACTCATCTTTTTTTTTTTTAATCTGAAAAAACTCTCTGAATCACTTTTTTAACCAAATGTGAACAACAGAACTGAATGCCATAGTTTAAATTTAACCCTATGCTGATTCACATTTGGATGTGGTGTCTGACAACCCAAAAGTAAATTATTCTGTGGACAAATTCAAAGAAAACTCTAGCATTTAGAGAATAGCAAACTTCTCGTAAAAAGTAAACAAGCCTATAGCAAACAGAGGGGAAATATGAGAGATGAGAGAAGATGATAGCTTGACTAAATAAAAAAAAAAAAACGCTTGAAATTTTGTTATTTGGATTTGCTTTTGGGAGTTGTCTGCAGCAAGTCTCAGGACATTACAATTTCACAAAAACAGTGCCGTGTATGCCATTTTATGGAAGGCTCCCAGGGCAAGAGGATTCAGCCCTTCAAATGAGATTGGGATAAGGAGGAACTTTTTCCCCAGAGTCCTCTGCCTTGACACTGCATATCAGGACACTTTGGTGGTGCTATGGCAATATAAGCTGGTTTGGGGACAGAAGGAAAAAGGGACCCTGCTGCGTGCCCACAGGGCCAAGAGCTTGCAGAGCACTATTACCACACTCAAATCAATTCTGAACTACCCCCTGATACATGGGGAAGATGGGCCAAATGTGCTCCCCCTCAAGGTGGGCTTCATTATGCGGCCTCCATTTCCTTCACATTTTCTGCATTGTTCACCTACATTTTTTTTTTTAAAAAATATGTATCTCAATTATCTAGCTTTTCAGGCGGAGACATATTTGCTTAAAAATGAATTGTCCTCATCATTATTCTAACTAATTCCAGGATAATATCAAAACCAATTCTCTTTGCTAGTGGACACGAGGACTTGTGCACTCTGATTTCTGCTGTGTCACTTACCAGTGGCCTCCTAATCTGAATTTTCTGCTTCCCAGATCTTCTGAAAGAGGCAGACAAGCAATGTCATATAAAATCTATGTGAACGACTCTGAAATTTGTGGGTCACTGTAAAAACGTCATCCATCCTAGTGATTACTTATCTTACTCTGTTGTTTTTATGGCCATGTGGGTCCTGAGGCCTGATGGGAAAGGAGTTCTCTGAAGATGAATTGCACTTAACGGTTTCTCATTTTCTCTGCAGCCAAACCAGTGTGATTTCATAACGTTCCTAATTTTTTTCATTGGCTTAATGGCTACATTTCCTACCAGGGATACAGACTTGGGAGATGAGTGTTTTTATGGATTTCTTCCCTCTGGCCATATTTCCAAGGGGTAATGTCTCAGGCTTTTGTTAGAATTCTCTCAAGGAAGATTTCTAGCATCCTCTCTTACCAATGTCCTGCTGGCAGGAGGATGCATCTCGAGCCAACCAGCCATAAAACCCTACTGCCAGAAACTGAGGCAGCAGTTAACGGAGTGGGGGAAGAGAGCCACACAGCAGGCTGCATCCTTCTCTGCTCCATTTCTGACAGGCTCTGCTTCTTCTGCTTACTTAAACAATATATTGTTTTCTTCTGATATCAAAAGTGAATAAGTGCTTGTAAATAATTCAAACAAATCTAGAAATGTATAATTTAAGACATTGTCAATGACTCCTTCTGTGTAAGCGCTGTTAAGAATTGTAGATTATTAAAGGATTTTTGGGTTTTTCCCAATATTTCAATATAAAAAGGATCACAATAAATTTTTTTTTTCATATTTCTTTGCAGATCTTGCAAGTGTTTCAGTTGGGCAAGTTGCTAGACGTGTCTGCCTATACTTGAATAATGTTAAATTTTTGGTTACAAAATAAGACTAAGTAGCATTTTATTATTAGAGTAATAATTGGTAAACAAAGAAAATTTGGTCATACCAAAGCATGTCAATCAGAGGTGTGTACCATTTTTCATGTGCCCTGTTGGTTTCCTGGTGGTGGAGAATAAAGAAAATGGATCTGAGGGAAGAGATCAATGTGGTCTCAGTTGTGGTGGGATTCCATTTATGATTAGAAAGCCAGTCCCACATAGTCTATGAGGGTCTGGGCTATGCCACCAGACTGTCCCATTCCACATCTGAGCTCAAATGCTTCCTTACTTTAACTTTCAATTTGTGAACTAGAAGGGCATTCATTGGCATCATTTAATAAGTAAGTTGTAAGAATTCAGGGAATCATATCAGTTTAACACCTAGAGCTACCTGAACACATCATCAATACTTGATACATGGTAACTATTTATATGATCAATACTCAAAATGGCTCTCCTCTTATGGAATAGTCTTGGAGAAGGCACTTTCTATCTACTTCAATCTTCACAAAACTCTTATGTCCTATTGGCTAGGGGATACAAGGTGAATATTATCATGCCTACTTTGTAGCCAAGGAAATTGAGACTTTGAAGAGTTTAAATAACCTGCTTGGTTCTCTCTATCCCTTAACAGGGGAGCTGTCCCTGACTGGTCAGTAAGGGTACTACTTGTATACATTATGGTTAAGAATCCAGAGCTTATATATGAATGCTATAAAAAGAGGATTTCACATTAAATTCATTTTTTCATAAATAAACACAGATGGATTAGCCAGAAACAATTAAGCATTGTTCCACCCAGGGTGCAGAATCAAATGGTATGGAAGGAGAAGGGATGGGGTTAAGATTTATCTGTTTTTATTAAATAAAAACAGAGATAAATGAAACTTGACTATACTAAAATGATAACTTAAGAAAAAAAATAAATGCAGATAATTTTGAGCACAATTTTGTGTGCATTATGGGATACTTCAAATTAATGAACTTATAAATATTTTTGTGACCCAGGGTTTTAATTACTGGTGAATAAAGAGATACAAACAAGGAATTGTTAGAAGGTGAGAAAGAACTTTTGCTTTTGGATTTGCATTGAAGTATCAGAATAAACTTAGGTGTGTGGAGGAGGGTGAGTGTGAATGAGTGACTCTTTCCTAGTCTGTTTTCTTTAAAGTCTAGAAACAATTGATGCACTTATAGAAATGAGCACACTTAGGACCCAGTTCTTGATTTCTGAATACTATTTCCCACTAACAAGAATCATGGTTCCTTAGAAAAATGGCTGATTCTATGTCAGTGGTAAAGAAAATGCCAAGATAAGCCTGGAAAATTCTGTTGAATTAGAAAGTAATGAAATTCTCAAAGACTAATGGGGGTCATGCCAAAAAGCACAGTGTGAAGGAGCTCTCACAGGTCATATCTGACAACAAGAGCATAGAAAGAATAATGACAGTAGTGGGTAATAACCTAGGGAATACAAAATATATGAGGGTATAGTAATAATTGTATTTGTCAGAGTTCTCTAGAGGAACAGAACCATCAGGATGCATATGTAAATATGATTATAAAATGGAGATTTATATGATTGACTTACAAGATCAGAAGCTGGATAGTCCCACAATGGTCTTTTGCAGGCGGAAGAGCTGAAGGAACCAGTAACTGCTCAGTCCAAGAAGGTGGAGCCTCTGAAAAAGAGGGATCAATGATGTTAGTCTAGGACTAAAGGCCTGGAAAAATCTCTGGAGAGTCACTACTCAGAGTCCGCTTTGGAAGAGCTAGAGTCTGATGTCTTCAGGTGATCACAGCAGCACTTGAAGCACCCACTCAAGAAGAATTGAGCTGGCATCTGTTCCTGTTTCCCAGTTCTTCCACCTTTTTGCTCCATCCAGGACCCCAACCTATTGGACTGGGCTACCCACATTTAGGGTGGGTCTTTCCCTCGGTTTGCCTATCATTCCTAGAAATTAGCACATGCAGAAGTCTTTTAATCTTAGGCATCTCTTAATTAAACCAATTTGACCATTTGGATTAACCATCACAGTAATTAATGAGTAAGAAAAAGGGTCTGGGTGTTGTTCAGTGGTAGAGTACTTGCCTGGCATGTGTTAGGCCCTGGGTTTGATCCCTTACACCACAAAGAAACACAACAGAAAATAAAACAAAAAAGTGTGGAGTTGGGAGGAGGTGAATGGTGAAGGAAAAGCTTTTCTTTAAAGGCCAGATGATAAATTCAGGCATTATAAAATCACTATATTGTAACCTTGAATTTAACAATTATGTGAAAGGCTGTTGGGGCTAGAATATTCATTAGGTCTGGCAGGATAACCACAGATTGCTTTTTCATTCCAAAGGGGAAAAGCATATTTATAAAGGAGAGATCTGGCCATCAACATTAACCAAATGCTCAAAATTAGTACCGCCAACAAAGAACATTGTATTCTTCCTGATATGAGGCAATTAGAAGTACACCCTTACTTGTATGTTCTGAAGAGCAGTAAAAAGCTATAAATTTGAAAAAAAAAGTACATCCCTTACCTATTCTTGCCAAAAATATTTAATCATATAGTTAATAGGGAAACAGAACCAATCCAGAATATGTGACTCTCTACAAGACTACTGGATTCTTACATAAAATCAATATCTCAAAAAACAAAAATAGAGTAGGAGGACCAACATAAAATAAAAAAGACTAAGAAAAGAGTAAGAGACATGGCAGTTGAAGAGATTGCTACAACAGCTCAATTCACAATAGCCAAGCTATGGAACTAACCCGGATGCCCTTCAATGGAAAAAGAAAATGGGATATACGCATATATACACAATGGAATAATACTCAGCCATAAAGAAGAAAGCAATTATGGCATTTTCCAGTAAATGGATGGAACTGGAAAATATCATGCTTAGAAAGTAATCATGGCATTTTTCAGTAAATGGATGGAACTGGAAAATATCATGCTTAGAAAGCAATTACGGCATTTTCCAGTAAATGAATGGAACTGGAAAATATCACCCAAAACCAAACGCTGAATGTTCTGATATGTGGTTGCTAGCCCACAACAAGTGAGGGTGGGGAGGTGAAAAGTAGAAGTTCATTGGATTAAACAAAGGGGAATGAAGGGAAGGGAGGGAAATGGGAATAGCAAAGACAGTACAATGAATTGGACATAACTTTCCTATGCTTATATATGAATACATGAATAGTGTAACTCCACATCATGTACAACCATATGAATGAGATCCTCATTAGAATGGTTGTACTCTATGTGTGTGTAATATGTCAAAATACACTCTACTGTCATGTATTTCTAAAAACACCCAATAAAATTAAAAAGGAACAGCTATAAAGTATTTCAGGGACAATTGAGGAAATTTTTTTTTAAAGAAAGAGGGGGGGGAGAGAGACAGAGAGAGAGAGAGAGAGAGAGAGAGAGAGAGAGAGAGAGAGAGAGAGAGAGAGAGAACTCTTTGATATTTATTTTTCAGTTTTTGGAGGACACAACATCTTTGTTTGTATGTGGTGCTGAGGATCCAACCCGGGCCTCACACAAGCCAGGCGAGCGCGCTACCGATTGAGCCACATCTCCAGCCCGGAAATTTGAATATGAGCTGAATATTATATAATATTATTGAATTGAAATTAATTTTCTGGAGGAATGTGTTATAGTTTGGATCTGTGATAGCCCTTGAAAGCTCATGAATGGAAGACTTGATTCCCCATTACAGCGATGTCCAGAGATGGGATTTTGGAAAGTGATTGGATCATGAGGGCTCTGAACTCACCAGTGGATTAATCCATTGAGAGCCAAATGGACTACTGGGAAATGGGACCTGTTGAGGGAGAAGGTCCTTGGGGACATTTCCTGGGGGTCTATATCTTGTCCCTAGCCCCTCCCTCTCGCTCTCTTTTCTCTGTTTCTCGGCTTTTCTCCACTATACCCGTCTACAATGATGTTTCTACCTTGGAGCCAGCCAACTGTGGACTGAACCCTCTGAAATGATGAACTGTGATAAATCTTTGCCTCTTTAAGCTGTTTTTTCAAAGGTATTTTTCACAGTGATAAAAAGCTGACAGACATAGGAATGAAAAATAGTAAATTTTTGTTCTGGAGATCTGTCACACAATAATATAAATATACTTAACATTACTGAACTATTTTTTTCAAGTCCAGGGTTTGAAAGCACTCTGCCATTGAACTACACCCATGGTAGATTTTATGAGTATCCCCCCTCCCAATTCAAACTTTTAAAAAATTGTTAAAAATTAATATTCTGAGCTATGACAATGGTATTTTTGCTATTTAGAAAATTCTTAAGCAATGCATATTGAAGTATTTTTTATAAATGAAGTGTCATGCTAACCTCAATTTACTTTCAAATGATTCAGCAGAAAAGAAAAAATGTGTCTGTGTTGAAAGAAGGATGAAAAGTAGTAAAATGTTAATTGTTGGATTATATATGGGTATTACTATGGCTTGAATATTTGTCAACTTCCAAACTAATTTTTAAATTTACCTTTAAGAGATGGGATCTTAATTAGGCCACTTGGGTTCTGCCCTTATGAAAGGACTAATGCCATTATCATGGGAGTGGGTTGGTTATCACAGGACTGGATTTCTCATAAAAGGAAGAATTTGGTTCCCTTTTGTCTATCTCTCACTCTCCTTTTGTCTTCTTATCATATTATGACCCAGCAAGAAGGCCTTTACATTGGACTTCCCAGACTCCAGAACAATAAGTCAATAAATTTCTGTTAATTATGAATTACCTAATCTTAGGTAATTCTGTTACAGTAGTACAAAATGAACAAAGACAGGTATATAAGATAGGTATGTACTAGTTATTTTCTAAGAATTATCCAACTAAAAAGGTGACAAAAACCAAGATAATCACCCAAACTGTAATTTGCTTTGATTTGAATTTCTTTAACAAATGAGACTGAATATTTTCCTTCATGTTGTCTTGATTATTTCTATTTTAATTATGTGACTGGTCTGACATGACCCTTATCTCATTGGGGTTTCTTAATTGTGTCATATCTACTTACATAAGCTCTCTGTAGATACAAATATTAAAATCTTGAACCATATTATTATAAATATATTGTTCCCATATTATTTTCTTATAATATTAGAGAGCCTGTGTCTAGTCTGAGCCCATTTTGCTGTCTTCCTTGAGTGATCTTACCTAGTCCCATACCTTTATTTGCTAATGATTTCCAATTTTAGAAATATGGCCTCAAATCTTCCAGTGTTATTCCAGAGGCAATGACCAGCTGATGCCCAGACACTGACTTTTTAATACCATTAAGTTTCCTTTTAGAAATGAATGAATCTGTGGCAGAAGCAGGGAAAGTAATGAATAAACCTAAAACATCTTATTGTACCAGAAGTAAGGAAGAATTCAAAGGCCAATGGAAATTTATTAAAAGGACATAGAAGCCATCTTGAAGTGACTTCCAATAGACAAATCTAGGATAATTTGAGTATCAAAATAAATAACGATAGACTAAAATAAGAATCCATGAGTCCATATGAAGATTGGATTATCTCATAACGTACCAGATAATAAATGGTTTAGCCATAAATTCTCTGTCACACTATTAAACTCTGTTGTGGCAAACAACAACAACAACAACAAACCAGTCATAGACAATATGTAAGTGAAAGAATGCTGTGTTCCAAAAAACTGGCAGGAGGCCAGATTTGGCCTAAGGGTTATAGTTTGCTTACTTCTGTACCTAAATAAACACAGGAATAAATAAGTGGCGAGAAGAGAAATTTTTTCATTATAGTAGAATGTGAACTAACAAGCACAGAGAAACGTTGAAGTTTAAAAACAAATCACAGTGTGGCAAACATTATAGTAATTATTAATCCAGGAAAGAAACATCAAAGGATGCTAAAAATAGGATACAGAAGGAGTTATTTATGCAGTTGTTAAGTATCTCCATATAAAAGGCTCATTAATTACAAAGGGGGGAAAGTATCTTGATGGTGGGGAAACCTGCAGACACAATCTCAATGGAATGATCAGTGTTAACACTACACATTATGGGACAGATCATCATCATCTACCATCTGAAAGGATTCAGTGAGAAAAACAGAGTCATTCCTGTGACATTCTTGCCAAAGATAATTAACCTCAGTGTAACAAGGAAACATCCTACAAGTGTCCCATTACAGAGACAGCGTATTTAAGAGATTTTTAGAGATTGATCAAGGAAAAAGATGTGACTGAGAGGTGATATTAGCACACATGCTTTATTCGACAACGTTTTGGCAGGTTTTCACATGGGGGAAAGCCTGTCACAGAATCAGGCCCTCTGCTGGTGGCCAGCAGAAGGGGAGGAACTCCCACAGAAGCAGGGGTTGGACAGGAGGCTTAGGTATCTATATGATGTTGTTCAACAATATGAGAATTCTTGTATCAGAGAGCTCCGAAGGGCTTAAGTAGTTTGGGATCTTTTAAATCTATAGAGTTTATTTTAGTTATGTTTGTCAGGTATTAGATGCAATTTCACAGTGTATGCAAAGCAGGTAGGGTCTAAATGGCTAAATCCCTGCTTATTTGGGAAATGTTGAAAATGGTTAAATATACATAAATTTGGTTAGGCACCAGCAGGCTTTTTGAACTAGTAACATCCTGTTGTAAAGAAATAAACAATGTAGGGGCCAAAATATAAATAACTATTGGCTTGTTTACATAACACACTTTAAGAAATGACTGCCTTAAAACTTTAAAAATGTCAATGGTGTGAAATTAAAAAAAAAAAACAAAAACAAAACTGAAGACTACCTCCAGATTAGAGCTTCCCAGAGAGGCATGGCAGCTAAAATCCTAGGTTGGATCCTCTTGTTACAAAGGACATCTCTGCAACAATTGGCCAAGTAGACAGGAATTTTTAGAAAAATGAATATTTTGGACTTATTTGTTCTATTTCAAAATAATTTTATAAAAGCATTTTCAGAAATCTATATATGGGTGCCTGAGTCACTGGGATCCAGGGTTTATGACAGGCACAGCACAACCTGTACCTTTAAGCTTGGTCTCTGGTGATGAATACATTGTCAAGTTAAGGGGATAGAACATATTTTATTTTGAAGTTTTTTAATCTTGAAAAAATGATATGTTTGAATTATTTAGACATGGGATATGGGCTTCTACTTGTTTTTCTGACCCAGGTCTCAAAAATATTTGAGGCTGGTCTGGGCTAGGGAAAACCTATATTCTAGAGATTTTAGAGAAAAAGCCCCTCCCCCCATTGAAATTTGAAGAGTGAACACATTTGATACCTTGAAATTTTGAGAGGCAGAGGATGAGACCAAGAATGCTAGGGAGATATATAGTTGACAAAGTAATAGAGAAATGTCTTCTGATACAGAAAGCAGAAAGGAGGATAATTAAAGATGTGTTAGAGATGTGCAGGATGAAACAGAAGTGTATCAAGGGAGTGATGTGTTTTTTATTTTGTGTATTTTTTTTTTATTTTGTTAGAATCTAAGGATGCCAGACAGTTATTTCCCAGTGTCTCTTTCAGTCAGGATATAGGGACACATCCTGGACTCTGCTCTTTAGACACACCTTTTGGTTCTCCTCTTCCACCCAGTCCTGTTCCTCAGGGGCATTTTGTGTCTGGAATGCCTTCCTTGGAATTTTCTAAGTCCTCTCTGTTGCCTGGGACTGGTTAGGGCTGGCAATGTTGTTCAGGGTATCTTGAGCCTAGACTTAAACCTCCATGGGCTGCATCCCTGTTTCTGCCCTTTTAGATATTCTCTGCCCTTCACTTCATGCTTGTGGTTGATAATACCGTGGAAGGAGTTATAAGCAAAGGAGCAGTGGCTCTACAATGTGTCTAGTGAGGAGTGTATACGTGATGGAGAAGGCTGAAGGTTTTTATTCTATTTTTAGTCCTGGGGATTAAATCCAGGGCCTCACTTGCCTTGTTAGGCAAGTACTCTACTTCTGAGCTACACTTCCAGCCTGGAGATTTTAGTCTTAATCACAGCAGGCAAGTCAATCAAAACCTTGGGTTTACAGTGTGGCTTTGGGTATAGAAAGGTTTTTTACTTCATGGGCCTGCAACTTGTATAGTTCCAAGTACCCAGCTTTGAGAAGGGCCCCACATTTGCTATATAATGTTTTGTGTTGCTGTCTTTAGATTCTTAATAAAATTTAAACAAGGGACCTGACAAATGTGGCATTGAGTTGATGTTGATTTTGGCTCTTGATCCTGACCAAGGAATCTAAACCTGGTCCTTGAACCTGTCTAGAGATTTGTTGAGTTACCTAACGCCAGTGGGGTGCTAGTAAATGTTTAACAAACCACCTGTAGTTTTTGTCCATTTGCATGATATAGTTCAGTGGTAGAACAGGCTGGAGGCCCTGGATTTGGTAAAAAATTAACTGCTCAGCATTGCCAAGATCAAGCTACCAACTTGATATCACCCAATAGGAGTTGGAAAAAGATGTATAATAACATAGTGCTATATGGTATTTCTACCATAAGTGTGCAATAAATGCAATAACCTCAGGGTGCAGATGATAATAAGATGTAGCAAATAATTAGGGAGTGATGGTTTTTTAGTATTTATTACCATTGATTTCGATACAATTTATGTAAGTTTATATGTGATCATACATCATCTAACAATAGGGACATGTTTTCAGAAATGTGTCATTGGATGATTTCATCACTATGTGAACATCACAGAGTGCTTATACACAACTAGATCTTGCAGCCTACTACACATAGAGGTTGTATGGTATATTACTTCTAGGTTATAAACCTGAATAGCAGATCACTGTACTGAATACTTTAGGCCATTATTAACATAATGGTAAGTATTTGTGTATCTAAACGTACTTGAATATGGGGAAGGTACAGTAAAAATATAGTATAAAGGATAAAAAATGGAAAAACTGTATAAAGCACTTATCAGGAATGGAGCTTATAGTACCAAAAATTGCTGTGAATTAGCCAGTGAGTAAGTGGTGAATAAATGTGAAGGCCTGGGACCTTACAATATGTTATACTATAGACTTTATGAACATTGTATACTTAGTATATACTAAACTTATAAACATGTTTTTCTTTTTTCAATAATAAATTAACCTTAGTTAACAGTAACTTTTTTACTTTAAACGCTTTTAAACTTTTTGAACATTTTGGCTCTTTAGTCTTAATAACAAGAAGCTTAACACATTGTACAGGATTACAAAACTATATTCTTTCTGTCCTTATTCTATAAACTTTTTTCTGTTTTAAATTTTTTTTAATTTTTAAAACTTTTTTTGTTAAAAACAAAGACACAGATATACATACTAGCCTAGGTCTACATAGTGTTAGTATCATCAATATCACTGTTTTACAAACATTTTGGGGGGAGCTTGTTGAGTTCTTCAAAGTATTCTGATAATTACTTCACCGTGAATTTTCTTTTCCTTTAACTATGCCTCCCCATTCCATAACATTAACAGTTCCTCATTAGTTAATCCCTCAGGAACCACTTTGAGGAGTTTCCCAATATTCTCCTTACCCACATAGCCTTGTTGAGTTTTGCAGTCTCTTCTTGGCAAATCCTTGGAGTCAAGTGCAAATCAGTTGAGTGTGTTTCTCCAGATGTTATTCATAAACCATTTGGTGACATCACCCAAACCCAAGCAGTGTTTTATGAAGTCATAGATATTATTATTCTGCCAGAGTTGCATCATTACCTTCTTGGTGTCTTCTTCAGTTAAAGCAACAGCCTGGGCAAAGGTCCTTCTCAAGAGGTAGACCATGAAAGCTGCTATAATACTGATCTATTGGTTGGGCTGAAGAGGTAGTATTTGGTGGAGAAATATCACTTTACCATTGGGATGAAGATTACCAAGAAAAGGAGCATTAAGGAAGTGTTATCAACAATAAACAAAATCTTGAATGATATATTATATTATAAAACTTTTCCATTTTGCTGGCACAGCAGTTTATGAGGACATTTTGGAAGAGGACCTGTGTTATCCATGACTTCTAATTGCTCCTGTGGTACCCTGGCAGCATTTGCTTATTTATATTCATGACAGCCGTGGGTTCTTATTGTACCAGGATACAAATTATTTCTGTTTGTAACCTGAAACATTTCCCCTAATTAACACTGTTATTCTGTACTTAAAACCTTGAAACCTGGCATTGACTTGGCCTTATTATGAATTACAGTCCTTTCAGGCATCATTTTCAGAGTAGGGAGTTTTCATCCATATTGAAGATTCTAGAAACTTCCTTCCACAATCACCAGTTTGTCTCTAGTTTCTACAAATTCTTTTTAAAAATTAATTAATTTATTTTAATTAGGTACATATGATAGCAGAATGAATCTTGATTCATTGTACATAATTGCAGCATAAGTTTTTATTTCTCTGGTTGTACACGATGTAACATTGCACCATATGTGCAGTCGTACATGTACCTAGGGTAATGATATTCATCTCATTCCACCATCTTTCCTGACCCATGTTCCCTAACTACCCTCCCTCCCTTTATCCTAATCAAAATTCCTCCATTTTCCCCATGCCTTCCCCCTCCCAATTATGGATCAACATCTACTTATTAGAGAGAACATTTGGCTTTTGTTTTTTTGGGATTGGCATACTTCGATTAGCATGATATTCTCCAACTCCATCCATTTACCTGTAAATGCTATAATTTCAATATCTTTTCATGCTGAATAATATTCCATTGTGTATATGTACCATAATTTCTTTATCCATTCACTTATTGAAGGGAATCTTGGTTGCTTCTACAGTTTAGCTATTGTGATTTGAGCTGCTATGAACATTGATGTGGCTCTGTTACTATGGTATGTTGATCTTAAGTCCTTTGGGTGTAAACTGAGGAGTGGGATAGCTGGGTAAAATGGTAGTTCCATTCCAAGTTTTCTAAGTAATCTCCATACTTCTTTCCAGATTGCTTGCACCAATTTTGTGTCCCATCAGCAATGTATAAGCATGCCTTTGCCCCGACATCCTCACCAACACTTATTGTTGTTTGTATTCTTGATAACTACCATTCTAACTGTTGTGAGATGAAATTTTTATAGTAGTTTTGATTGGAATTTCTCTAATTACTAGAGATGTTGAACATTTTTTTCATATATTTATTTTATATATTCTGAGAAGTATTTGTTCAGCTCCTTAGCCCATTTATTGATTGGGCTTTTTTATTTGTTTGGTGTTAAGTTTTTTTGAGTTCTTTATATATCGTGGAGATTAGTGCTCTCTCTGACATGCATGTGGCAAAATTTTGCTCCCAAAACGTAGAGTTTCTCTTCACCTCATTGATTGTTTCTTTTTCTGAGAAGAAGCTTTTTAGTTTGAGACCATTCCATTTATTAATTCTTGAGTTTATTTCTTGCACTTTAGGAGTCTTGTTGAGAAAGTCAGGGCCTAATCTGACATGATGAAGATTTGGGCCTACTTTTTCCTCTATTAGGTGCAGGATCTCTCGACTAATTCCTAGGTCCTTGATCCACTTTGAGTTGAGTTTTGGGCATGGTGAGAGATAGGGGTTTATTTTCATTTTGGTGTACATGGATTTCCAGTTCTCCTAGCACCATTTGTCAAAGAGGCTATCTTTTTCTTCAATGCATGTTTTTGGTGCCTTTGTCTAGTCTGGGATAACTGTAAATTTATGTGGGTTTGTCTCTGTGTCTTCTATTCTGTACCATTGGTCTACATGTCTATTTTGGTGCCATTACTATGCTGTTTCTGTTACTATAGCTGTGTAGTATAGTTTAAGTTCTGTTATTGTGGTGCCTCCTGCTTTACTCTTCTTGCTAAGGATTGCTTTGGCTATTCTCATTCTCTTACTTTTCCAAATGAATTTCATGATTGCCTTTTCTATTTCTATAAGGAATGATGTTGGGACTTTAATTGGAATCACATTGAATCTGTATAGCACTTTGGGTAGTATGGCCATTTTGACAATATTAATTTTGCCAGTCTTAGACATGGGAGATATTTCCATCTTCTAAGGTCTTCTTTATTTTTTTTTTAATTTTTTATTTATTTTATTTTATTTTTTTATTGGTTGTCCAAAACATTACAAAGCTCTTGACATATCCTATTTTATACATTTGATTCAAGTGGGTTATGAACTCCAATTTTTACGTGGTATACAGATTGCAGAATCACATCGGTTACACATCCACATTTTTACATAATGCCCTATTAGTAACTGTTGTATTCTGCTACCTTTCCTATCCTCTACTATCCCCCCTCCCCTCCCCTCCCATCTTCTCTCTCTACCCCATCTACTGTAATTC